TAGTTTAGTGGTAGAGCACTTAGTTAGCAGATTTGAGGCCCTAATTCAATTCACAGTGCCAAATGAATAAATGAATGAATGAGTGAGTGAGTATATGGCTCTCAAGGGTAGTGGTTTGAGAGGGGAAATTTGGGGCAAGTGGAGCAACTGATAAATTGAGAATTTGTTTTCATTTTCTTTTCTCAGGTCCAATTATCAATTACAATGGTTGTTCGGATTCAATGAATGCTTCTGGTACTTAATATTTTAAAATATACAGCTGGTGGCCCAGGCCTGGAATCCCAGTACTTGGGAAACTGAAGCAGAAGGGGGATCAAGAGTTTGAGGCCAGCTTGGGCAACAAAGTGAGAGCCTGTCTGAGAAAGAAATACAGCAAGGAGAACTAAAGAATACAGGGAACAAATTCTTTGGTTGTAATTTCATATGAATTGAGTGAGACCCATGAAGTCCATCTACTCTGACACCATGGCCTGTGAAATCGCTCTTCATACAGAAGAGGGAATGATGCCGTCCAGCATTCACTTTTGTGTGCTGGGAGAAACCGAGGAAACCAGAGCGAGATAGAACACTGCGCCCTGTGTTGTGCCTCAGGATGTTGTATCAGAACTCTTTCTGATGATGGATTTCTTTTTTTTCTGAGTGAATCAGAGAATTGACTAGAGTCTACATTATATTTAAAAAATTAAGCTTTATGTGAACAGGCAAGGGCATGTGGATAGGTGTGGAATTATTCATGAAGCTACAAGGCTAAAGAAACACTGCCTTCTCCCTTTCTGGAAGGACTGATATGATGGCCCATTCCCACAGTCCAGGTGGTTTCTTGCTTGCAGTTGCCCTTTCACAGCCACAAATATGAGAAGTGATTACTTGACAAAACATTTTTATGCTATTTTTAAAATGAGAAAATTGACTTATGTGAATATTCGATCCAAACTTTGATTTTGAGACAACAAAATGTGTATCGTTCTAAATGTCCCAGACACTCCTAGTATTGACTTCTACCAATAAATGGCACTAAAACGATTTGGAGCAGAGCTGACTGATTTGTATACATTCATCATCCTCATTGAGATCTTCTACTGCCTCTTTTAAAATCTGTTGTGGGCGGGGGATTTAGCTCAGTGGTTCTGCCACCTGCCTTGCAAGCGCAAAGTCCCAAGTTCGATCCCCAGTACCAAAAAAAAAAAAAAAAAGAAGTATGATAAAAAATGAAAGGTAAGTGACTCAAAGCACTTTCATTCACTTTAAGAAGTTAGAAGTGATTAATTTTACATGGAGGAATCAGCAATGTTTCCAACAGGATGTCAGAAATGACCTTGGGACATATTGGCAAAGCACAGTTGGAAGAAGTTGCTTGATAAAAGGGTAAATGTGGCTTTTAAAAACAATTGTTTTGCATATTGTGAATTTTATGTAGGGCCCCCAGCTCTCTTTATGTAAAAATAGGTTAGCCAATAGTTCTTTTATTTATATATTTTAAAAGTATCACCATGTACTTATTATAATTGCTTTTTAAAAAATTCCTGATGCTATGTGTATTTAGAATGTCTCATTCAGTGATTGCAACTGAATTCATAAGGAGTTTATCAACCATACCAGATCAAAAAGTATAAGCATATTCTGGCATATACATTGAAGACTCTTGGATAAACACGTATCTAGAAAGAAAATACAAAATACAGAAGATTTTAAACTACCTTTATTGTCATGCGATTTGTTTAACTCTTGTCACAGAAATTTGAGAACAAGAATAAATCTTTTTGAAAGCTATAGTATACGGGAACACAGGCAATGGTGTTTATTTCCTGAATTCTGAATTGGCTCTGTGACTTAATAGTATAATACTGTAATGGTTGATTAATTGCATCAACTTGAGTAAGAGAAGCTCAACTAAATTGGCTCAGCAATTCCACAGCAGAAGATCCGCCCTAGGGGAGCTTGTCACTTGGATGATACAAGAGAAATGAAGATGGATGGATCTGTGTCTGTTTCTCTGCAGGAGCTCCAGTCTTTGCCTTCACCTCGGATGTCATCTCCGGGCTTCCGGTGCAGACTCTTCAGCTTCCAGCATAGATCCTTCACCCTTCCATCACAGACCCATTGGCCTCCTGATACCGACTCGCATGAGACCCTGCAGCGAGCTCTAGACCTTGGACTGAATACTTCAGTCTCCAGTGTGCAAACAGACCCTCTGCAGTCTTCCACACCCAGCTCTGTGGGTGGCCATTGTAAGCCAATCTTGTAAATTCTTATATGCTTGTATATCTTGTGTTATATCTGTTTCTCTGACTGATATAAATACCCAGCAAGTTCTGTGTTTGTTTGGAAACTCAGTTCTCTTACTTGTAAAACAGCAATAATTATAATAACAATACCTATCTTATAGGGTATAGAGTTAAATGAGCTAATTTATCTGTCCTGCACCAGGAGGGAACACACTTGCTAGCTATGATGATTAAATGTCATTTTGCTTTACAGGTGGGAAACTGCATTAAGGAATTATCTATGGTCCCACGAAGAGGCTGTGAAAGACCCACAGCTGGAACTCAAATGTGAGACTCTTATCACTCCTCCACATCTGCTTTGTCCTTTGCACTTTAACATTATTAATTTCCATGGTCCTATTGTAGCTTTGTTAGCAACACAAAATGTCACTAAATGTGCACAAAGCATGAAAATACACCTCCCCCCAAAAAAACGAAAAGAAAATACATCCCACAGTTTAATAATATAAAATTGTGAGATGGACTAAATTGTAATAGATTTACATCCTAAAGGACCATAATTAGCATGAGTTAATTATTTTTTTTTAAATCTTACATTATCTACAAGGCTTCTTAACTCTATGTGTTTTCTTTTAGTTTGTCTCCCTCTGGCGGATTTTTAAAATATTTATTTTCGGGCCAGGGATTTAGCTCAGTGGTTTTGCCACCTGCTATGCAAGCGCAAGGACCCGAGTTCGATCCCCCATACCAAAAAAAAAAATTAATTTTCAGAATTACTGTCTGGGTGATTTAGAATAGGGTTTACACAACTGTTCATTTAATGTCAGGCTGATTAATGTACCAGAACTTCCAGAAAACTGTCTTACCTAAATGGAAATCTTTGCAGGGGCTACATTTCAGGAGGGGCAGAAGTAGTCCCAAGGAATCTGTTCCCTGACACCTACATAACCACCAAGGAGCACATGCAGCTAGGTGAGCTGGTGCATGCCTGTAATCCTAATACTCTGGGAGGCTGAATCTAGAGGATCGCAAGTTTGAGTACAGCATGATTAACAGTAACTCAGTGATCTCTTGTTTCAAAATTTAAAAGGGGGGGTGGTGGTATGTAACTCTGTGCAAAGGTCCTAGGTTCAATCCCTAGGACCACAAGCAAAACAAAAAAGCCACATACAAAGACACACATGAAAGATTAAAAATTGCAGAGTGAAAATCAGCAGTGAGAAACAGCCTTTCTTTGATCTGGAATTATGTGGAACTATGCAGACATGTGGAAAACAACAACTTGCTAACGAAAAATGTAAAGCTCCAGGAATCAGGAGAGAGCTAATAGGAAAAGTAGAGACTATAGAGAAGCTGGATAAATGGAGCACAATTCAGAGAAAACACTAAAGCAGTCTGGAAAGCTATCTCTGGCTTCTGGAGAGGAGGACCTATCTCACTAACATAAGGTAAGACTGCGGAGGGTCAGCAGCTCCAGGGAGAAACAATGGACCAGGGCAGCAGCACTAGCCCCAAGAAAAGTACAAGGATATTGTAAACTGTAAAAACAACATAGAGTTTTACTCTGAAAGTCACTCCTTGTATATGGCAGGCTAGAGTTGTATAAGCAATCCAGTACAGCACCCTCCATATTTGAGAGTGTTTAATTGAGAGCCATTATGGGAAGAGGTGAACTGTTTAAGACTGAGATATAGAACTACACTTCAGGGTTTCTTGGGTCACTGTACCACAGTGACTGTGTTGGAGACAGACATAAGATACAGTTATGGAGAGGGAGTAGGCTAGAAATAGAACCCCTGAGAAGATTAAACTCAGGCCAGGAAGGACACAGGGATCTCACCCTCTGAGATGAGAAGCAAGGCTTGTTATGTGAGAATTTTTGAGGGGGTTGGTCTTAAAGTGCTGGCATTTAGTTCATCAGACTTCATGCCTCCTTCCCACATCCCACTACCTACATCCAACACAGAGCTCAGTGGTCTGTTTGCCTTCCCCATCTGTCATCATGATCAGAGATGTGCCCAAGTTTGGACATTTGGCACAGTCTAGGGTGAACAGAGGGGCCTCTGGAACACAGGTGGCACCTCAGGAACTCATAGACCCTAAAGATATGTAGAGAAAGTGGTGACTTGAGGGACAGAGAGACAAGGAAATTGGAAGCAGCTGGACTGAATAAAGCCCTACAGTAGACACCACTGATCAATTGTGTCCAGATTCACACACAGAAAGGTGAGTGTGGAAATAAAATAGGTCATAGTAGGGCCAGGTATGGTGGCATATGCCTGTAATTGCTGCACCTGGGAGGCTGAGGCAGGAGGATAATAGTGAGTTCAAGGCCAGCCCCTGAACTACAAAGTGAGACCCTGTCTCAAAATAAAATAAAATAAAAGAAAAGAAAATAAAATAAAATAGGTTCTAGTAGTGATTCACTATCCTTCCCCTATATTTGGTGGGTTCCAATACTGCAGATCCTGGAAATAAGACACTCATTCGAAAACAAGGAGAAATTTTTTTTGGACTCATTTCTTTCTCCATTGGTTTTTTTTTTTTTTTTTTGAGTTTTTCTCTTTCTTCTTCTTAAAATTTTGCTTTTTTTTTCTTTTACTTTTATCTAATTCTATAAATTCTCTTTTACTCCTTATTTGGATCTTTTACATCACTTTTCTGTCCTCATCATCTTTCTTTTATTTTCAACTTTACTTCTCTCATTTTCCCCTTCCCCATACCCTCCATCTTTACAGTATTACTATTAAGCTTTATTAATCTTTAGATATTTAATTGACTGCTATTATTGTTGAATTCTTTTCCATTGTTAATGGTGGTATAGTTGTTTCATTTAATAGATATTTACTGTACATCAATATTTGGCTTGTCTTTGTGTCCATATTGTAATTATAGACCTCTTTTCTATTGTTAAGTGTGGTACAGTAGTAGCTTTTATTTGTTCTTATGGTATATCAATATCCAGCTTGTCTTTAACTCTATTATAGTTGCTTATTTCATTGCAATTGCCAGGGTGGCATAGTTGTTTCAATTAATTGATTTTTACTATATGTCAACGTTTGATTTGTCTTTGGGTCATTGACAATACTGCAGTTCATTTCTGATTCAAGTAGGCTAATTACACTTGGTGCCAGGCTAATTACATTGGACCTTCCCTCCCCAAATTGATGGAGGTGGTTGGATCTTGGACCAGAAGAAAATGCCTATAGTTAGCTATGCTCAGAGCACATCACTGGAAAGCAGACACAAACTAAAGAGAACTCTAGACCAGCAAAAAAGGTATTTCCAGTATAACCTGAAACTCTCAGCACACACACGCACACACACACACACACACACACACACACACACACACGCACAAAAGAAAGACAGACAGAAAGAAAAGGAATGAAAGAAGGAAGGAAGAAAGAAACACAAGAAAAAAAGAGAACAAAATGCCTCCAAAGACTCTCAACTGCCCCAAAGCTGACCCATGGGGCATTAATGGGAAAGAAATCAAAAGCCAAACAGCTGAGCTATACAAAATGATAAAAGCAGAAGCAAAATGAAACAAAACACAGACTGATAAGGTGCTTGGCAAGGTCAAAGATGATATAACAAAACAGATAATGAACTTAATAAACAAAATGATCAGTAAGCTTACAGAAGACACTAATAAAAAGCTAGCAGAGCTAAACAAAGCAATAAAAAACATGAATGGCCATATTAGCAAAGAATTAACATCCATGAAAAGATAACCAAACAGAAATCAAGGAGATAAAAAATTCCACTGAAAGTATGAATAGCACAAGGACAATGTGTCAGAACTAGAAGATAGGGCTGATCCAAGAGACCATATACTCAGAGATACTTTAAAAACTACAAGGAAAATGAAAAATGGAGCCACCTTCTCCTCCAGTTCTCCTTTTATGCCATTGGCAACAATCCTCAGGTGGGTCTTCCATGCCCAGAACCATGCTGACTCAGTTCAGCTGGGAATTCCCACTTAAACTGACCATTAGTTAATCCACCACAAGCTCCTTCTATACCTATTTTCTTCAGGATTGGTTTGTTTGTTTTTATCATTAATGGGTATGATTTATGGGATAGATGATGTAAAAAAGACAATTCTAAAATTAGTTTCAATTAATGAAAAATCAAAAGATGGCACAAATGGCATTTAAAAGCCTGTTTACAGAAAAAATAGCAAAAAATTTTTCCAAGGATGGGATAAGAATTTAAAATACAAAAAAAAAAAAAAGAATTTAAAATACAGGTAAGTGGGAATATAGAACCCCAAATAGTCATGATCAGAAAAAACTTCTCCACAATGTATCATAGTCAAAATTCCAGACGTCTAATTCAAGGAGAGAATCTTAAAAACTGTTAGAGAAAAGCAACAAATCACTTATTAAGGCAAACCCATTAGAATTAGCAGACATCTCAAGACCAACCTTAAAAGCAGGACAGATTGCAGTGCTTCAAACCCTAAAAGAAAACAACTTTCAACCTAAACTAATATATCCTGCAAAACTATATTTCAAAATTGATGGAGGAATAAGGACTATCTATGACAAAGACCATTTTAAGAAATTCACAACCACCAAACCATCACTCCAGAAAACTAACAAACAAACAAACAACTCAAGGACATCTTGAAAGAGACAATGAAGCTAACAATGCCAAAAATATCTAATGGAATGAATAATTAGAAAATCCAGAAAAAATAGATTCATAAATACATATGAATCACCAACACTGAACCAAGCAGATACAAAACCTTGCAACAAGCAATGAAATTGAAGTAGTACAAACTAAGAAAATCCCAACTCTCAAATGGATTCACTGATGAATTCTACAAGAACTTCAGGGAAGATTTAATGCCAGCACTCCTCAAACTCTTTAATGAAATTGAAAGGGAATGAGGACTGTCAAATTCATTCTTGGAAGCTAGCATTACTTTGATTCCCAAACCAGACAAGAACTCCACTAAAAGAGAAAACTATAGGCCAATCTCTTTAATAAACATAGATGCAAAGATAAACAATAACAAGTAGAATGGAACAAATCACTAAAAAGATCATACATCACAGTGAAGTAGCCTTCATGCCAGGAATGCAAGGATGATTCAACATACAGAAATCAATAAATATAATACATCACAAAACTAGAAGCAACGACAAAAATCACACAATCATCTCAACACACAGGAAAAGCCTTTGACAAAATCCCATACCCATTAATGATAAAAACAAACAAACAAACCCTGAAGAAAATAGATACAGAAGGAGCTTGTGGTGGATTAACTAATGGTCAGCTTAAGTGGGAATTTCCAGCTAAACTGAGTCAGCATGGTTCTGGGCATGGAAGACCCACCTGAGGATTGTTGCCAATGGCATAAAAGGAGAACTGGAGGGCAAGATGGTATACTCTTGGTTTTCCTGGAGAAGCTTGTTATGGTTGGTTTTCCTGATACAAACTTGGCTGTTCTCATCCGAGGAGGAGCTCAGGTCCTCAGTGTTGCTAGGAATGGCTGCTGTTCTCTTCAGGGAAGCTCCAGTCTTTGCCTTGAGCATCTCTTCCTGGCTCCAGTGCAGATCCCTCAGCCTTCTGGCATGGATCCTTTACCCGACTGGTGCAGACTTTCTGGGTTCCACCACTGGCCTTTGGGCCTTCCTAGTGCAGATCCTTGATAAGGACTCACATGAGGCACTGCTGTGGGCTCTAAGTCCCAGTTGGATTCTTCGGGTCTCTAGCACACAGACAGATCTCTTGCATTCTTCTGCATTTGACTTTCGGGTGAATATCATAAAATGATCCTATAAATTATGTGTCCTGTATTAAATCTATTCCCTTGCAAACCCTGACTACAACAAGAGCTTATCTCAATCTGGTGAAAGCTATTTATGAGAAACCTACTTGGAACATCATAGGAAATTGGTAAAAACTGAAAGCTTTGCCTCTAAAATGAGGAACAAGACAAGGATGGCCACTCTTGCCA